AGGCATCCATAGCACTGTTGGCAGCAAGCTCCAGAATTTAATTATGCATTTGATGAAGCGCTTCCTTTTGTTAGCTTTGAATCTGCCACTTCAAACTTTATTTTATGCGGTTCCTTCTGCATAATCCTGCCATGTGAGCAAACTGCCCAGAAGTCACCAAGACTTTTCAAGCTAGTGTTTCGTCTACAGCTGCATGCCTGTGCAAATGTTGTAGTTATGCATATGTGTCAAGAGGAGGTTGTTTTTCACTTAACTAAGTCCATACCAATGCAACTCCCAATTTTAAATAGTATTACAATAGCATGAATAGGTCTGCCAATGTTTTAACTCTTCTCTCTTCTTGGAAGTGAAAGCTTTACCAACGTATACTGACATGAGTGTGACCATGCTTGCTCAGAGAGCAGGTGTAGTCAAAAGAGCTCGTCTTTCAGCCACAGCTTTGTACAAACACTTTTCCAGCACTAGTGAGTTTTACTAGGGAGGTGTTTCTGCTGTGGAGATGGTGTGTGTCAAGGCTGTGCTCCATACCAGTCTGTAACTCACAGGGCTTTGCTGCAGGACTGATGCCAGCAAGACAGCTCACCCACCTTTGCTGTCCAGACCCATACATAGGCCAACAGAAGTCTCTGGTAATCCAGCCTCTAGGGCTAAACCAGCCTGATGGAATGCAAAGCTGTCCCTCAGGTGATTTGAAAGAAAAAGCACAAATATCCTCATGAGGTCTAAGGAGTGTCTCTGCCCAATATCTGTACTAATGGCACGAAGTTCACTGAAGGCCTGTGCCTATGCATAAAAAAACATGTCCCCAAGACCACATCTGAAAGTCTGATAAAAGACTTGATTTTTCAGGAATCCTTGAGTTTCTGTTAAAAGCAGTGAGATTGTGAACTCTGCTGATTTCAAATTCAAGTAATTTACTCAGAAGTCTAAATATGGAGTTGGACTTTTATTTTATGATATACTGGTCTTTGTCTTGGGCTGTTGAAAAGAGAACACGATAAGCTAACAACTGGCATAAAATTTTCAGTTACTTTGTAAATGTTACAGCAGCAGAGAACCAAGTAGAATTACTGAAGGGTCAAAGGCATAGATTAGAAACATCATTAAGGAATGGTAAGAATTACTGATAAGTTCTAGTGTCTTTGTTTTATTACTTCCCTATCTCAGTCAGGTCTGCAAACACACTGATTCACGTTTAATTGAACAACAGCTTCATTGTGAAGCCTGCCATTTTTAGCTGCAGTATAGAAAATATCTTTAAAAACACCACCCCCGCTTTCTAACATTGTACAAAGAATTACAGCTCATCTGCCATAGGATATATACTATGAGTGGCATCATCTTCCTTAAGTCTCGTTTTCTCTGTCACATGTGGTGTGACAAACAGCAGTCTGGGGACCTGCATGCTATGTATGCCTTCGTGAGGAAGGGCTTCCCTGCACCTGCAACAGGCCCTCTCCTTCTCCCGCTGTTCCCTCATTCCCCTTGTGTGTGTGCTTTGGTCACGATCAGCAACCTCTGGGCCGGTGTCCCAGAGCTGCAGTCCAGGGCAAGGCAGGTGATGCTGCATGGAGATGTGTAAGGGTGACCTTCTCTTTGAGTTCCCAGAGCCCTATCCATGTTCTAGATTGTGCACAAGCAAACACGTGTCCCACTTTCCCAAGAACAAGCAGACAGTGAAGCATGTTCTGCTTTCATTGTCCATGGGCTGCAACATACACTACTGTCGCTGATAATGTCGGAACAGCCAAAGCGACACGAAAAAAGGTTCCAGCAAAGTTTATTCCAAGAAAAAAGCAGGGACGCCGGGGCTGCTTTCGCAGCCCCTTAAGTACAGTTTTTGCACACACGTAATTCACACGGATAGGACCGTTCAAACTTTCACACCAGAATTCTTACAGCTAATAGGTGCATTTTCTAAACTCTACTTTCTCACAACAACTTTGCTCTTTCTCAAAACAGCCCAGTTCTTTCCCACAACAGTCTCGAGCACCTGCTCTTATTTTTCTCTCATGTTGATGTTTTTCCCAACTACTCTCGTTCAAAACAGGTCCTTGTTCTCATGAGGCAGTGCTCCTGTTTTCATGAGACAGTGTTCTCTGTTCCCACAGGACAGCTTCTTCAGGATGCATCAGTATGTTGTCAGGATCAGGGCCTCCATTTTCAGTCCTCTCTTTTCAGGCCATCTCAGGGGTATACTTTGATCTGGTCAACATCTATTGCTTCGTCAGTATGTGCCAAGGTGCTAACAGACCCGCTGTCACCCCTGACACACTACCTGTGGTCAATCACATATATTTGATTGCTCTCATACGAATAAAAAGGATTAGCTGGCTCTGCAGAGCATTTGGCCTACATTTCATCACTTTGCTTGTGAAGCTGAGCTGGATAGGAGTGTGAAAAAAAGAGCTTGTTAAAGCCTTGGTTTTGACACAGTTATGTCAGCCAAAAAAAAAAATATTTGTCTCAATACCTCATTTCATTTTAAGGGATGTATTCCTTTGGTGCTCTTAGCTGTGGCTTTTACTGCTGTACCAGCAAGCCCTACCTTGAATATATCATGTAGTGCAGGCATGGTAGGGTACACAGTCCAGCTTGGCTGTGACTCCAGCTGTATGGTGCTGGTACCTACTCAATCTAGGTAGTAATCTGGTGTCCTTGGTGCAACTCCTGGGAGAGGTAGGCATCTATTGCAAAGTTAGGCTTGAGGAGGACACATGAGAGGCTTTTAACCTGCCTCTAATTTCAGATAGTGCATCCATGTGATCAAGAGTGCATTCAACTCAGCTTACTTCAATTCCAGCACACAGAGCACAGTGCTGTGGTTTGGAGGAGAATGGGTGGTTCTTTAGGTCAGAAGACAGATGCAAACATGTATGCAGAATGCCCCATGCTATGTAATAGATCCCTGTGTCTGCCTCAGACCATGTGAGATTTCACAGCTCTAGTGTCACCATAAAGTTAGCTCACCAGAGTGATCTAAAGTGACATAGCCAAGGTAAAAGTGACACTTCAGTACAGATAAGCCCTTCATCTTTTAAGCTCGTTATTTATATTAGATCAGTCTCTACCAGTCACAGTATCTGACCTAACAGCCCATTCCACTACCTGGGTAAGGATTTGTCTGGCTCTGTCATTTTTTGGCATTGTTAAACTCCTCGTGCAGTCAAGACTGCTAGAAGGAGGCTGGAAACTTCTCTGGACTAGTTACACCTTCACTCCTGCTCAGGGTTTTAACCTTTAGTCATTTTATTTTTAGCCAAAATTGCTGAAAGCTCTTTCCTCCCAGTCTGCGCACGGTAGATTATGAAAACCTAATGAGAAAAGCTAAAACTCATTTGCTCAGAAAGAATAATTCCAACCCTGTCCTTTGGCAGATGAGAAAATTAGGCAAACTAATGCATTTGTCATAGACTCAGTTGAATGTGCTGTTTTATTCAACTTCATGTAAGGGTGCTGTAATAAGGGTCTAGGCATAGGTCCCTGAGAGGTCAATAACTCCAACGTTGTTTCTACAGGGTTTTTCAGAGCACTGTAGTTTTCCAGATGGAAGACTGGCAGCTTGAGGAAAGACCTAGATCCAAGGGATCCTGGCAATAGAGAAGGCAGGATGGGTGGGTATCTATGAGTGTTGCAAGAGAACTGTCTGTCTACAGACCTCCTCCTGAGGACTGTGCCCAGCTCTGCTGTGGACCTCGTGAGCTTCGGACAGATGGTGTTATGGTGCCAAACAAAGTGTAACTATAGTTTGATTTGTGAGTGTTGCCTCCAGTTCTCTGGTAAACATCTGTCTAGTGTGGCCAAGGCCAAGTCACTTTTTCCCATTTCTCACTTTCTGCCTTAGGAAAATGTAAGAAGTAGTGCTCTTGTCCTAAGTATTGTGTGAAGATCCGGCACTGGAAAACTGCATATATATATGTTCTGAACATTACTGATGATCCCAGAATGTGGAAATGGTCTAGCACAGTAAGTCTAGTCTGATATTTGAGAATAAATAAATCTCAAATTAAGACTATAACATTTGAGAGTAAATTACCTAGCCTATAGGTGCTATTGACCATTTTTCTGTCTTGCTCATTTTTATGTTTTATTCCAATGTGTATTTGAATCTCTCTACACTGCCCAACCTCATTCTGCCATTTGGTTGGGGGAAAAGTCTAAATTTGTGGCTTATATATGAAGAAGCCTTTAAGCTGCCCACCAGATTCTCCTGTTGGCTCCTGTGGAGTGCCTGAGACTGGGATCATCCTGTAAAACTTGCAGGCTTTGGTATTTCTGTTACGACTACTTTGCTGGCATATTGAGGTAGACAAACAGACTCACTCTATGTCCTCAAGAACCTAAGCATAGCAGTGACAATAACAGAGAGGTATTTGAGGTTAGGAGAAATTTGCATTCATGCTAGTGTAATAATTTCAGGCTCCTGGAAAGATATGGAGTTTTCCCCTCTTTAAAAAAAAAATAAATGCTATAGGCCAAAGCTTCATCCCCAAGAAAGCAGTGACTATGGTTTTGCACAGAAAGGTATGTCTGTCAGAGGGAAAAAATATTATAAAAAAGTAGTTTTCTGAAAGGAAAATTGGTTTTAATGGAAAACATGTATCCAACAAAATGCCTGGAAATTTGACTGCAGCAAATTTCTGACTTTATGTTTCAGTTGAAGATAAACTATCAGGCTGACTGAAGAAGTAATGGAATGAAATTATACTGTCTGTGTTACGCTGGAAGGACAGAATAAATGATCCCTAGGCTGCAGTCTCAAAGGACTGTGGCATTTTCACGAGTTTTCTACACAGTGTTGCTTGGAGCAAGACACCAGCTAGTTCACTCTTCCCATCTTGCCTCTGCTGTTCGAATCTGTTGCAAAGCCTGATCTGTAAGGGGCAGAAAAAGAGTGCAGTGGGGCTAGATCTGCAAAAAGCATTTCCAGCAGTTCTAGAATGACAGTGGAGAGAAAAAGCTTCTTACCTGAATACTCGTGTATGTCTGGCCTCCCACAGTTCTGCTCCCAGCACTTCTTTTAGATGATCCCAAACAAGTTCCTTCTCTCTCTTGAATGGCTTCTTTTCAATGGAAAATGGAGGGAAAAGTCATCCAGGTGAACTAGAAGCATGCATTTCAAATAGGTGAGTCATCTGCATTAAAGTGGACATCTTTAGTAAGAATAATGGTAGACTAAATTAAATGTTCTTCTTAAGTTAAAATGCCCACATGAGGCTTTAATATGATTTAATTAAGTTTTTAAAAAGTTTCATTAGCTTGCAAGGTTCATTCAAATTAGGATTCTGGAGTATCTCCATGTAGGTAAACCCATAGTTTTTCCCTCTGATGAAACGGGAACTCACCACCTTAGAAAAGCAATGCTGCCAGACTCAGTTCACTGATACCTAGAAAGCACTTTGTTCTGTCGGAGGCAGGAGGCCAAACGTGTGTAGTTCTCTCCTGTGAGTGCAGCACACACAGGCTTTGGGCAGCTGCACATGGCTCTGTGTGAGGCTCCCAGCTGCAGCCTTCTCCCAGACACATACCAGCTAGCAAGGACAATGCCATCACCTGCATGGAGCTATATCCAAGGTACCAAAACACTGGTTCTGCTCTTTCTTCTGCCACCAGCTTCCCATGTCCCACACACACCTACCAGCAAGAAATGGGGCCATAACAATATATATGCATTTACTCTTCACTGTGTTTTGAAGTCAAGAAGAGAGAGGGGGATTTGCAGGCTTGTTTTGAGTGCCTGATGTGGGTGACTTCGCTGTGCCATTTCATTATGGGAACTCAACTGCAGCAGATTTCTGGAAACCTGATCCCTGAGATAAAGGTTGAAGAACTGAAACAGCAGTATCTGTCCAGTGCTTCAGACTGTCAGTTCAGAGGCAGGTCAAAGCCTCCATGACCTGAACAGGGCTGTCAGTATAAGGACAGCTGCTCTCAGTCATAGGCACCCAGTGGACCTAAGTGGAGGCAAAAGTTACATGAAACAGCCACACTGCTTTCCAAGTCACATGAGACCTACTGACATGCATTTTCTAAGAGACTAATGACATCTAAAGATCTTTGAGTAAACTATTTGCTTTACATTTATAACAGGATAATCATCCCACTGCTTGTCGTGGGAATTAAGCCACTGATCACCATCCCAGTGACCAAAAACATTCTCCTTGAGAATAAAATACACATCTTTATCATTAAATTCTGCCTCATCAATAATGCTGGGAAAGATTCTCTTACAAAGCTATCAGGTTTAAGAAAGCAGCCATCTTACAGACCATGCCAGCCTCTTTCCAGATGGCATTTTGAATACAATATAGACCAGGACCTTTGCTCTCCAATCCATTATGCAATAATCAGTGCTTATAAATTAAGTATGTGCCTAGCAGAATGTGTCTTTCCATGTGGCAAGCCTCGTGCAGCAAGGATAGACTGTGAGTCACCACAGGTGACATAGAGGCCACCTCAGTTGATTGTTTCATCTGAAACATGAGAGGCAATTCCCACGGGCTAGGAGGCTGCATCTGAAGAAGGAGCTTGGGGTCAAAGATTCAGAGCTCTTTATGTACTCTTATAGGCTAGTATGTTGTCTGGTGGTGTTGACATGTGGGTGACTGCTCAAATACCATCATGACAGTAAGATAGGTACCCCACTCATCAGGCAAACTACCACATGTCCACTGAAGTTTATGGTTCACTTGTAACCACACACCCCATGGGGCAGCTGACCTGTGGGCCCCCTGAGGCTTGTGGTGACTTACAATGCAAGACTAGGGACAGCTTTCAACCATCTTGTTAAACTACGATGAGACACAGCAGTGGACAGGCCAGGGCAGGCTCCAGCTGTGCACCACCGTCACCTCTGCGCGGTTGCTGGCCTCTAAAGCTCACTCAGGTGAACTTGCAGAGTCTGCAGTCACACCACCAAGCTGGAGGGTGGTGCAACATGCTGGATACAAACTGCTTCTCCAAAGTGAGACATAGATTAGCTGGGGACTACGCCCAGTTTACTTAGCTGTCAGTGTACTGCCTGGCTTGGGAAATCCCTAGGCGGGGGACTACTGGCACCTGGGAGGTCACACTGGTCACAGTGTACTTGCCCTCTTCTTAGGCTCTTTTTCTAAATATTTGGTACTGACCACAGCTGGAGAAGATGCACTGGATTAAATGGACCTTTGGTGTGTTCCAGGTGTTGTCAGTCATATGTTCTTACGGTCACCAAAACTAGCTTATAATAAAACAGGTTAGCTAAGACAATTTTGATATTGAGTGCTCATTTGTGAAGTGCTTTGAATATCAGGCAATAGTATCTAATCTTTGATTACCAGTAGTGACTGCTTTTTCAAAAGAAAATATGGGTGGGGAGAAAAAGGAATTTCTGTTCAGTTCCTGGTCCTGGTTGCCTGGCGAATTCTTTTAACTCGCAGAAGAACAGATTTGCATGTTGGTATTTTGGGGATGTTTCCCATGAGAAAAAAAGTGCAACTCAAAACTCTAGATGACTTGAGTGTCTTGTCACGATTATATCCTCCAAGGGTTTGTGTCATTCAGATGATAAATAGGGTTTAAATAACAGAAAAACAACAGTACTGCCTCATGTAAATAACAGCAGCATCACTACATGCTACCTGCCGCATTGTTAATGCAGACATGATGGTTTGCTGATGGTGTTCACTTCCCTGTGCCCAGCACTTGTGTCCTATTCAGCCAGAACTGAGATTTTCTGAGAAATGCCTGTTCAATCTGTGAACACCAGTGACACAAGTGCCCAGCTCCCATCATGCTGTTGCAGAATGGATTAATTTTGACACAAATCTGCTACAAATGACCATGTCAAATGTATCCTGGTTATCAGAGCACAAAAGCAAAGCAGGGTTTCCAAGTTACACAAGTATCTAAACCCACAAAATATCCAAGGTCAGGTTCTTAGCTTCTACTGATTAAGAAATTATATGAGAATTATAATGAGAAAAGTGCTTTTTAAACACCTGTTAGATGTGTGTCTGCCTCCTTTGGCCTGTATGTGAATGCCTCTCAGCTATGTGATCTGCTCCAGTTCACAGGACTGATTAAAAGAGAAAAGGGAATTTCAGACTCCAGCGTGGTTACCAAGCCATCACGTTTATATCAGCAGAATGAAGACAGGCAGTTTCCATTACAGCTGCATGATGTCTTTTGTCATGATAACTGCATGGACTTTAGAGAGATTCTCCAGTGAAAATGTGTTCAGTTTTTACCTGTAATGTGTCACTGTGTTGCAAGTGATGGTGCAGTGTCGGTCATCCCAGAATGTCACAGTGGAACCAGACAACCCAAAGCAAAGCAAAGTCCACCAAGAAGCCCACAGTGGGCAGCAGGCTTTTCTATTTGCAGAGACATCTACCTTCAGTTGATAAGAACTTTTAGTGCAAACAATGCTGGAGTAATCTTTAAAATTATCACATACATCTGTGAGTTGTTTTAGGGAAAAGACCTCCCATGAGGAGTAGGAGAAAGGCCTCTGGCTGGCATTGTAAATCATGTAGCATCCCACTGATATTTAGGAACAAGTCGAACCTTAACTTACTATTCCCATTGCCAGCTCCAGTGTGGTGTTGCTTAGATGAGTCTTGCTCCTGATGGCTAAAGATAGAAATGTTTTTCCACTCTGATTTTGTTTTTAAGCTCCATTAGAGCAGGCCTCAAAATAGTTTTGGAGTCTATTTATTTCTCATTCTTTGACTTGGTTTCATGCTGGATGTCCCAGGCTGGCTGGTGCTGTAGACAGCAGAGCTCTAAGTGGAGCAGACAAGCAGGCTGGTGCCCAAATAGAACCTGCCATCAGAGTTTATGGTTAGGACTGAGTGGAGAGTGAAGCTTCACGATCTTACTGCCAAGACAGAAACCTAAAGGTAGCCTGTTTTACTGGTACACTGTGCTGCTATCTCCAGTAGGAGCTGAATGGGGACCATTTTGTTTGGACCAGCAGGGGTGAAGCCGTATCAGTCCCCCAGAATTGTGGCTGAGTTCACATAGCTGCCTAAGTTTGGTGGCTGCATACCAGAAAACTGGTTGCTGCTGCAGTAAGGGCTCCAGGTGTCCACTGTCACAAAACATGTGCTGTTCTTGCTAGTTTCATAGCTACTTCCTGCATAATGCTGCTTTCTGTGTGGTGATCACTTCCAGATGTGCCAACGAAAACAGGGTGGATTTCATGCAAGAAAGTATTTTCATATTATTTTCTCTGAGATCAGAGTAATTTTTCCTGCATCAGTCTAAAAGAGAAATTCTGGTGATATGATTTGACTTCTTCTGCCTTCACAAGTTGCTTTTGCCTCCATATGTCACCTCCAGTGTTGATAGCTGGCAGGTTTCACTGTAGCATCCAACAGAATTCTGTACCGTCCACCAGAAGTATCCATCCCAGTTATCAAACATCAGGCACACAGCACATTGTCTCTGTTGCATCTCCCTTTTCTGTCTCCACCTCCCAGCCAGTCCACCACAGAAACCTTCCCTTTTTCTGCTCATAGTCACCAGTTCAACACGAGGTGAATCTTTTTTCTATAACTGAGCATATAGGCCTTCTCCTGCCAGGACTACTCAAAAGCCTTCACCAACTGGTCATTGAGGCAGGGAAAAATGGTTCAGCTCACGTAGGTTAAACCAAATCAGGATTGAAATGATTTATTGATTTATTAAGGATAGTCCGTGAACTATACATTCAGGATCTATGTCAGCAATACAGCACTTCAACCACAAGGTTAGATACTTATAAAACACTGATAAGTTTCTGCAAGTTCCTAAACACACTTTTGTAACTAATCTCCAGACACGTAGGCACCAACTCCTCTGTCAGTGGCATGGGGGCCACTTCTGGGAGCACAGGTCCTGCCGCTTACACCCCGCTCCCACTGGGGTTGTGGCCACTCCAGCTCTAGGGGTGCCCATGCTACTCCCTACAATCAGCTAATGCACCTGCTGTGAGAAGGCATGCCAGCAGGTCACGTGCACCCTCCCAAAGTGTGAGTCCCTACATGCTGTATCCCACAGGGTCAGGCCACATGCTGGGTGCCAGCTTATGACAGCGTCCCATGAATGGGGAGCTGCTGCATCTGAGCTCAACAGTGTTTGTGATGTGCCAGACTGGCTTTTGACAGTCTGAGGCCTCTCCTTGCTCCGTTACCATTTTCTATGTTTCTTTTATATAGCCTTTCAGATCAACTCATTCTTTGTCTCAAAATTGTCTTTGTTATTCCCTGGTTACTGTTTAATCTAGCTGACAGTTGCCATCCTCTTTAGCGTGATCAGTTAAGGCCTGGTGATTGTTTCCCTCTTCAATAAGATTGGTTTGGGGTAAATGCCCTGTCAGACACTTTTGGGTTTTCCATCCGTACATGCTGTTTACCGTCACTAATCTATCTTATCAGCTGTTGTCTTCCACAACGTTTTTATCCAAGTGGGAGCTGTGCAGGCACTCCCACACACCTATTGAACTGATATTAAAGAATAGTGGCCCCATATCTGGATTTGGGGGGAAGCTCTTTCTACATAAATTTACTTCCTCAGTGCCTACCAGTTCACGAATTTTTGAACTTAGTTACCTCAGCTTGCATAGCTACATACAATTAATCTGTTCAAGTGTAATCATTGTGCTCAGAGGACCACTGCATATGTCTATAAGTCTAATCCCTAGTGACCCCACATCTGTAAGGGGGACAAGGAGAGAAAGAAGGAAGACTTGAAAGCTACTTTTGTCATAATGTGTTCTGGGAGACTACATATTCTGCTTGAGCTGGTGTTAAACTGTGTAGCAGCCACTGAGTGGGCTTTCTTTCACGTGAACCTCCCAGGCAGAGAGTTGGAGGACAATCCTAAGGCAGTGTCCAGTAAGACCAAGAAACTGATGTGGGGATGAAACACCAGCAGATGCCTTGCTGGGGAACTGAGGGCAGCTCTCGAGGGTCACACCTCTCCCCTTCAAGGTCTCTTGTAGTTCCTGGAAGAGTATATAATGCCTGTTTGCCACCAGGCATCTTGATCATGGTCTGCAGGGCTGCAGCAGCTCTTGTTGCCTGTTTTTTCCTCACCCTCCCTCACCTGTTGTGTGTGATGCAGGCTTGGTGCCAAGCTCCTGGCCAACTGCCCTTTCCAGCTCCTGGGCATGCCAGCCTGAGGAGCCCCAGTGGCAGTGTTTGCAGTGGCAGCCCATGAATAGTAACTTTCTGAGGCCATTTCACAATCTTCTGTCACCTTATGGTTAGCATTTGGTCCTGCAGTCTGTGAGAGGCTCCCCACCCTGGCATGCCTAACTTCTTCTGATGCAGATCATCCACAGCCACTATCAGAGATGTTTCTAGATCACACATTACCCAGAGTTCCTGTATGTGACCACCAGCAGCACAGTCTCATTTGCCCTACAAGTAGCAACCAAGCCAGATAAATCATTACTTTGTTTTGCTCTGCGCTTGAGCACTACTTTTTGCTGCTACATTAGAAGTAATTGTTCATCCTCCTCCTCCATAGTGAGACAGCTTTTCTTGCCCTAAGTCCTTTCTCCCAGTAGCACAAGGCAGGAGACCCAAAGGAAGCAGGAATCTCATTGATGGCTATGCCCAAACCCACCGGAGAAAATCAGGATGTTCTTCACATGCTAACTGCTTAAGGCAGTGAGAAAAACCCTTAGCAACTTCTATCTTGTAGGTTGTTCCTTCCTAGGTGCTGGTGCACAGCTTTCCCCAGCCCCATCCTTCATCCTGCAGCTAATCTCTTAGACATACATTGCTTTGTACATTTTGTTCTTGGTAGTTTCCAATGTTGCCTCAGGCCCTTATCACCTTAAAAGATCAGATCATATAGTAGTGGCCTTAGAGACGGCCTGATTGATATCTACACAGCCAAACAAACAGTAAATTTGAATAAAATTTGGCACCTTGTTGCCTATTAGATCTGCTGATTCTGAGAGGATAATTCACAGACATCAAGTAAAGTGTGTGTACTGACATACATGGGACAGATTCTTTGGCTGTGTAAAAGAGCTTGTAGGGGTGGTGTGCAACCCTCATGGAGGGCCTTTTGCCTCATGTGCAGTCATGAGGATTTGACATCGCTGGACACTGCCAACCCAACAGGACTTCTCTGTGTATTTATACAGAAATACAGATGCTTGCAGGAAGAGGGGAGAGTTTCCCAGTGATCCCTGAACAAACACTGATGAAGCCAGGAGCTCCCGCAGCTCGGCCTTCACCAACACCACTAGAGCTTTTAGTGAAGGTGTGAGTGTGCTCAGAGGAAGATCATGTTTCTGGGTGGCCGTTTACAGTGTAATTGTGATACACTTATTTAGATACTCTCTAGTTGCTTTCTCCAAACTCATTCTCTGCAGTCATAGGGAATAATGCTGTGGAAGAGTGTATTCTTGTTCAAATCTTCTCTGATATTAGTATCACCATGAGCCTCCCTGAATATCCCATCCCTGTTTTATTTTGGATGATCCCCCTTTCTCAGGCAGAAGGTAATTAGGAGAGGGCTGCACCAGCTGTTGCTGTTGCATGTGCCTTGAACTAACTCATGTGGTGTTTTCCTCTGCAGACCAGATGAACTGGGTCCTGGCCCATGGATAACATGAGACACAGCATTCAAGGGCAGGTTGTCTGGTGAGTAGGTTTGATGCTTGGGTGACACCACCACACACCTATACATAATTCCCAAACTGCTGCCCTGTGTAGAGTAGTATAACTGGGCTGTAAATTGTACCCAGGGCATTAGTGTTTCAGTTCCCCAGTGACCAGGGTAGATTGGGTGTCCCAGCAGCTGAGAAAAACAGACCAGTTGGTGAGAGCAGCAACTGTGCTGAGGTCTGGGAAGTTAAAAATGGGTGTTTTTTTCCTTCAGCAGTGCTCATCTATTTATTGGCTTGATTGTAATCACAGCTGCCTTAACTTGTAACTAATACTGTCCTCCCTGCAGCATAGATGATGATCACTTGGGTATCAGATACTGCTGTCTATGTTTGCTTTTGTTATCACTCACCATCAGCAGGTCTCTTTGAAAGACCAGCTCTGACCAGACACCAAGGAGAAAAGAGGGATTCCAGTTATCCTCTTCCCTGTTGCTGACCAGTTCTTTCCCATCACACAAACCCCACTGAGAGCTGATTCTCCTAATGCAGGATGCAAATCCATGTGGCACACCTGGTTCCCTTTGATCATGTATAATTTATCATGGAGCATTCAGCAAAGCAGACACTCCCAATTAAATACAGCCTTCTAGGCACATGACCTCTCTGTGCCTCTAACCTACAAGCCTTCACGGCTTTGAGAAATCTGGTCGTATGGCTGAAGCTAAGGAGGCCGTGCTTACCCACTGCCATGAATGGTGGTGTGACCTTGAGGGTATCTGGCCTATCCAGACCCAGTGAGGGTGCAGTAAGTTAAGGTTGACAGCCTAAAAAAGTAGGTCTCAGTTGCTTCAGGGGCTGGTTCTGGTCTGTAGCCATGGATCACTTGGAGAAGGGTACCACATTATGACTTCTCCCCTGACTGCTAGTTTTAATGGCTTAGGGAGGGTAGGAGGCAACAGTGGCCACTTCTTGAGAGCTGAGAAGAACATGTTTGGGTTGGCTGGGTGGTAGGGTGGTGGTCAATTTCAAGCTAGGTCATTCTTGCAGGTAACCTCCAGAACACGCACCTGATAGGTGGTACCAAGGAACGTCCCATCTTTAATGCATTCAGTGCAATTCCCAGATCTCAAAAAAAAAGGAGGATGGAGTTAAAGTATCAGTAGCTTAAGGGCAAGAAAATGTGGAATACAATGTTGCAATCCAATAGGAAATTCAGAGGTAAAACCAATATGCTTGGACTTCCAGATGTAATTTAACTGTCCTGTAATGGTACCATGGGATCAAGGCACAGTAGTTTATTGTGATCCCAGAGGTGTCCCTGCAGAGAAATCCCAAGCCCCTGCGGGCTGGGCCGAGGGTGCGGCATGGCGTTTGTGCAGCGCCCTGAAGGTCACCCCGCAAGGGCGGCTGCGGCTGTCGCGTGTGTGAGTCGTGTCCCCTCCCCCCCCACCCGGGTACAGGGGATGGGGAGGTCTCGCCGCCCCCGGGGAGCCCCTGCCCGGCCGCCCCTCCCGGCAGGTGCTCCCAGCGCACGGGCGGCGGAGCGGGGCCGGGAGGGGAGCACTGTTTGCGTTCGATATCCCGCAGCCGCGCTACACGTGAGCCCGGCGGAGCGTGGCGGGGCCGGCGGCTCGTGCGGGGCCGCCAGGAGCAGGAGCAGGAGGAGGGGAGGGAGTGAGGCGATGCTCGGCAGCGCCCGGCCGATCAGCTCTGTCGCGCGGAGCCGGGACCCGCTGGGAGCGGGAGGGGCGGGAACGCCGGGAACAGGCGGGCACGTGCGCGGGTCCGCGCGCTCAGGCGCGTGCACCTACGGCCGGGAGAGGGGCGCGCGCCCGTGTCCCGCGGGGGCGCGCACCCCCGGGCACCCGCACAGACGGGCGGGCACACAGACGGGCACCCGCACAGAGGGGCACACACACAGACGGGCAC